TATGCAGCTAAACTTCCCAGTTGAACTGCGTTAATAAAAATAGATCAGATAGGGGACCCTTAACCTCTTTTGACTGAACTGCTTCACAACAAGGATTAGTCTTTCTTAAGTGTATGGGACAATTGATTCTTGACCTCCACAACATACCTGAGTCATTCAGAAGCTAGAGCAGGTAACTCTAGTCCTTACTAACTTGCATAAACAGAGATAAATTTTGGCAGAGTCCTTCCATTCTCCACAGGAAAGAATTTAGATGTGTTTGCAACTGGTTCTAAATTGCTATGTGAAGCCAAAATTTCAGCTTTGTTTCCCAAAGGTGGTTAATTCTTTTCCTGTAAAGCTCAAACTTGATACAACTCTCCAACTGCAGTTTGTGGGGAATGCTTATAAGCTTGGTGCCTTGTTAATTAGTCATTAGAAGTCCTGAGGCTTAGTGTCTGTCTTGCATGATTCAGCAAAAGAGAGGTAAACTTGGTTTTCATATTACTGTCCTTGGTGTCCCTGAAGATTTCAAGTTTGGTGCTGGCATGAATTACCACTAAGGTGTTTAGTGTATAACTGGTATAAAAGCTCTGGCATTGCATGTCATTATACTTGAAGACTTTCATCACTTATAACGTGCCATCTGGTTCTTTAACTGATTCGTTCACTTCCCTAGAGAGTCATCCAGTATCTACATCAGCAAGTATTTAATGGACGAAGGAGCAAAGCTACATATCTATGATCCTAAAGTACCTAAGGAACAAATTATCTTGGATCTCTCACATCCAGGTGTCTCAGAAGATAACCAAGGTAAGAATGCTCATGTAAAGCTTATTTCTTTCCTTCCCTCCCTCCCCTGCACTCTAAATACACGAAGTCTGTTTAAACACTATAAATTCACTTTCACATTTACCATGGCAATGATGAGCTGTTGGTTACACTTATTGGAGGACTGTCATAGCTCATAGGATTACTGTAGCTCTCCCCTCTTTCCCCATAGCTTTTATAGATGAATGCTAATTCTGTACTATTGTGTATTTTATTTTGATAAGTATTAATTGGAATACATGCAAAGAATTTTTTTCTGCACAATTGGAAGGAAGAGAAAGAAGAATGTCCAGAAGTAGGAGAGACTAGTCCTATATTGCCTTAGTTCTTGCTTCCCTATCTAAAGTAGAAATAAATAAATAATTCTCTAATACACTGTAGAGCATTCTTCCCTTCCCCATATCACTTCCAAATTCATCAGTTCCCTTAAATTCAAGAAGACTTTAAAGTAATCATCTGTGACTAGAAATTTATTGGAGAAGGAGCATGGGGTACTTGGGATTTTTGTTTTCTTTCCTTTTTGGGGAGAGGGGAGCATGGAGATGATGGATGGGGGAGAAGGATAGGTTAGACTTCTAGAAGTGAAGAGAATGAAGGAATGAGCTGTGAGGAAGAGTGAAGGTTGTACATTATTTGACATGCCCTTGGATTAGAGTGGAATGTGAGGGTTGCCTTTAGGCAGCTGCTTGGGCACTCAATGGATGAAGGCAGCCCCTAGTGAGACATTTATCTTCTTTAGTGTGAATGGAGTGTTAAACAGGAGCTCTGATGTGCTGCTGTTGTACAGACAATGAACTTTGTCAGAGTTGGCATTTGAACACTCCCTAGCAACCTCTAATTCTAGAGATGCTCTTGACTGTTAAAATCAAATTTGAATGCTTAACTTGAAATACTTCAGTGCCCTGACTCTATTCAGATGTCAGTTACAAGCTGCTTTCATGTAAATAAGTGAAATCAAGGTGACAAATGTCTTGCCAGAAAACATCTCCAGGTGAGTGACCTGAAACTCTCCTTGTTTGAGTAGGACAAGGAAGGAGACTAGTTTGCCAGTGCACTAGAATGATGTTGAAGACATGTGCATAATAAAACTGTGTTTTCCTTTTGTTACAGTGTCTCGGTTAGTCACTGTAAGTAAAGATCCCTATGAAGCCTGTGATGGAGCTCATGCCCTCGTAATTTGCACAGAATGGGACATGTTTAAGGTAAAAATGTTATTGTCAAATTGAACTTTAGCATAACAGCCCCCTCTGTTTGTGGGTTTTTTTAATTTGTCTATTCTGTCTGCTTTAATTGCCCTTTACAGGACTTGGATTATGAACATATTCATAAGAAGATGCTGAAGCCTGCATTTATCTTTGATGGCAGGAGAGTCCTAGATGATCTTCACAATGAGCTACAAGTCATTGGCTTCCAGGTAATTGGCTGGGTGATGCTGCTGCTTATGTTTCTTGTCTTCTGCTCTCTGTTCCCTCTTGGTTTTGCTCTGCAATGACTGAGTAGCAAGGGGGGAAAACCTCTTCAGATGATGATTTAAATCTAAAACCATCTGTACTTAAGTCTTTTCTCTAATGCTCTCTTCTTCCAGTACCTTCCTGTTCTTGTAGATCTTTGTTAAAATCCAAGCTACATCAGCCTATGCCATCAGGATTCAGCGCTGTAAGAGTGCCTTGATGCACTTTTAGCATAGACAGAATACTAAAATCACCTGAATATCCTGATGATAAAGCATCTCAGCCTGGCACAATTGGAACAAAATCTACAAGCCAGATCAGATGCATGTTTTGGTTATTTCATTCTGTGTACTCCCGAGTACCATGATTACTTGCATAATGGCCATAGACTTTTATCTCTTGCTATTTTTCCCCTGCTTAAACTACTTGTGATTATTACACTGTAAACAGGCTTGTAGAAATCGCTGTAACCAGTCAGTTGAAGCTGTTATGGGCAAATATGGTACATGTAGCCAATACTTATGTCAGCTATATCAGCACACTCTGAAAAGAGTTCTTTGAACAGTCAGTTCAGATGTATGTCTAGAATATATTCATTAAACTTCTGATAAATTTATTACTTAAGATAGTTTAAGTATTCTGCCTTTTGGTGTTTTGCATCTTACCTGTACTACTTAAGAGGAAAGCTACAACTCTCCTTGCTTTCTGGGCATCTGAACTGTTTTTCTACTGGTATTTTGTCCTCTACAAGTTATGTCCTTAGTGATTTACATTTATCTGACCTAAAAATTACAGGAACCTCTCTCACGCGGAGTTTGGCAGTACCTGCCTTGCATGTGTCAGCTCTGTTACATACTTTCTTTTCTATAGAGTTGGCTGAATGTAGCCTTTCAGAATCTGTTTCAAAAACATCCTACTGCACTGAGGAGCAGAAAAAGCTCTACTGGACATCAATCTTAAGACAAAGAAGGCCAAACCCACACTTTTTGAATACCCAGAAACACTTTGATATTTGTACTGATAGTCTTATGGAAGCTGCGGCACATGAATGTTCAAATTAGCAAGATGCAACTTTAATTAGGCAAAGCAGGCACCTGTGAAAGGATGTTTTTAAACTCTTTACAACTCCAGTCTGAGAAACTGCTTGGGCACACTGTGCTTTATGGCTTCTATTATTCTGGTGTACATGAAATGTAGTCATGGTCCTGAATTTAGTTTGTAGATTCCTCATCGGCTGACATGACTCTGTCATCCTGCCACACTCACTTCCAAAATGTGTTTTCTCTTTCAGATTGAAACAATTGGGAAGAAGGTGTCAGCCAAAAGAATTCCTTTTGCTTCTTCATGTGAAATCCCCAAGTTCAGCCTGCAGGACCCACCTGTCAAAAAGCCTAGAGTATAATGTTTAATAGGTACTGAAGAAATTCTGTGGACCTTCCTGTAAGCCTATGTTTTGTTTTGTGTTTTTTTTAAGGAAAGATATTTTTCATAAACTGAAGTTTTACACTAGCAATGGTACCTAGTACACGTGAATTCAATTTTCAGATCTATTTTTATAGCAATTTTTTTTGTTACTGAAGATGGTAGAAACCTGTTTTTAATAATGAATCATCTTTTAAGTGGAAAAGTTACCTTCAAACTGCAGACTTCTGCTTCTAGAAATCTTCCTAAACAGCACTTTAAATGTTCCAAGGGATACAAAAACAAAAGAAACAGAACATCTTTTTACTTTGGTCCAGTTATGGACAATGATCAGGAATTTTGGTCTCACTGATTCCTCATTTTCTTTGGGGGTAATTCTTTACCCAGTTAAATGCTTGCTCTAACTGGCATTGAAGTCAGAAGTTTTAGGTGAATTTAGCAGGATTTGGGTTGAGCCCTGAAATAGAGCTGACTGCAAAAATAATGCCCCAATCCTGGTTGGGATCCATGGGCACTGATGCAGTCAAAATGGCATCTGCTGGGAGGCCAGATAGTTCTGCAGGCATCTATCATGTAACTAATGACAGTGGACCAGCAGCTATCAACTAATCCACTGGCAGATCTTCACTTTTGATTCTTCGGTCATCTTGCCTACATTCCATGTGCAGCCACATCAATTACGGATCTAATGAGATTAATGGGGCAATTTTTTCCTAAGTCACAGCAATACCACCCATCTTCAGCTGAGGAGGATTCTCCTTGTTTGAACACTGAAGTTAAGCAGAATTACCTTAATTTGGTGTCAGTCCAAGTAGAAAGCAAATATTGGCTTCAAAGCTACCTAATGGTTGTTTTTTTTCTTTCTTTTTGCTTACAGAAACGCTGAAAGCAGCGTTCTTAATGAATCTGCAAAAATTATTCTCTGTTGTTAAGAAATTATAAAAATTTTAGCCCCATAACTTTAGTCAGCTTGCTACCTCATTTAATTAGCAGGAAGGAATACTTCCTATGTTATCTTGATATTTTTGCCTTTACTTTATTTCTACTTGTTTTTATTATTCTCCATTGGCCAGTGCTATTAAAATCTTTGAGATAACAGTTTGTGTTTGGCTTGTTGCATGGGGTTGTGAAATGGAGGGGGAGGACCATGAACAGGTTTCAGATTAGAAAGTATAGATGTCTTAATTGAATGATGATAGCGTTGGGATGTTAGAGAATTATCCTGTAACTAGTGACATAATACCTTCTGAATTTATTCAACGGGTGTGCTGTGTCAATAGTTAAACAGAGCGTAAGATCAGTATTGTCTCGGTAATGAGTGCTATTATAACTATTTACCCACAGAAATGTAGATACAATTTAAGCTTTAGGACAGATATTTGAAAATTTAAGGAACTTACATAACAACTTGGGTAGATGATAGAAGACAGTGTTATCTAACTGAAATGGCTGTATTCTTGAACCAGATGCTTTCAGATTCTGCATGTTAATGGCTTCCACATCGGGGTCTTTATGCAGCAGTCACTCAGCACTTTGGCAAATATGCCTCAGGCTCTTTGTCTTATCGTAAGATTCTTCTGTGAGGAGCACATCAGAAGCCCCTCAAAGTGAGTGGGAATTAGAGGCATAAAACCAAGCTGTCCTCTTTCATCAAGCCATCTCCTCCCAATTCACTAGCGCTGCTTTTGTATACTTGCAGAGCAGGGACAGCCCTGTGCTACAGTTCTGCTATTGTGATCCAACTGGTAGATCACCCTATCTTTGCAGGTAGGCTTTCTCTTGATACCTCTGCCCCCATAGCACCTGGCCTTTTCTTCTTGGGCATTAAGAGGGTACTGACAAGTATGCTTGAAGGATCTCTTGTCCTGAACTATGTTCAAGGTAGCACAGCACTGCCTCAGGGCTCATCTGAACAAGAAGGGTGAGTAGAGACTTCAGAAAATAAGGATGCTTTTCAGAAACTTGAGCACAGCTGTAATAGCAGTGCCTCTGTATGGAACCTGTCCTCATCAGTTTCAAGTAGACAGATGAACCATTGAACTCTTGTGTGAAGTCTTGCTTCTGTAAGACTGATCAGCAGTGTTCCTGAGGCTTCCAGTGGCTTTTCACATGCCATCCCAAGGAGATGGAGGAACTAGGTGTTATAACACTATTCCTACCCTGTTTCTCCTGCAGATTTAGTCAAAGCCTGGATAGTGACTTGTGGCTTAATCATGAAGGTAATAAAGAATGGGAAAGCTCACTATAGGGAGATCACTCTAACTCCCCTTTCTTAGGAAAGGGGGAGTGGCAGATCCTTTCTGAAGAGCAACAAGGGGTAAAACTGGTACTGACACTTCCTATGCTTTCTTGAAGAGCTTATTTAGTTTCCTGGTGGCTGCATTATTTTAGCAGGACATGAACTATGGGATGAATCCAGTCTGAACAGCTGGTGGACTATGCCTTCAGGATGCTGCAATACTTACCTTGCATACATGCAAGTTAACCTTTCCACAGGCCAAAAGAGTGAGCTTTGGAAGCTTTTTGCAGCACTGTGAATCTTAAGCCATCATCTTTAGAGTACAATTGCCAGGGAAATGAGAATTGGGAATTACTTGCAATCCTGCTTTGAAGGCCTGAGTAGTGTGTGTAAGAGATGGGTTTTAATGCTGTTGAGTCTTTGTCTGTAGGATCTTGCAGCATGTAGTTCTTGATGAAATTGTGTAATAGAAGTAATGGACTCCTGTGCTCTGAAATTTTTTATGGAGTTCTTAATAAAGTGCAATCCCACAGTGACACTGCTTTTCACTACAAAAACGCAAATACAACAGATCAAGCAAATCCAGCTTTAATAAAAACCTATGAATAGTATGATACATCTTACCCAAGATGTTCATAGACAAATTGTGAACACGAGGCAAGATGTACTGTTTTTTCTTCTCTGTATGTGTGTACAACCCTTTGTGCTGCTAAAACTTGGCATGTGATAGCCAAGAATATTGCAGGTGACTGGAACAAACATATTTTTGACCAAGACTAGTTACTATATAGGAGCAGTTAGCAGTGAGATTTTTTTGTACTGGCCAACAAGTTTACACTTCTATCACTTGGAGTTCTTGTATTGATCTGGAATTTATAATGGTGCCATAATCTTACACAACAGCTCAAGTTTGAAATTAATTGTAAAACAATGCAGAAAGTGTAATGGGTTATCTGATTTAAGAATACTGGAGTCAGTTTTTCATTACTTGCTTTTTCTATTCCAAGCTGAGAATTCAATTGCAATTTGAACATCTGCAGTAAATTGACTTGTTGACTTTTTTAAATGAAGGGGACACCAGTATTAATTGTTGATCAAGTAAGAAAAAAATTAAACAATTCTTCCTAAATGAACATTCTGGCTTTGTTGGTTTAGCCTAAAGATTTGAAGTCACTGCAAGATGCAGTGTTTCTCTAGTCAACTACAAACATTTAATTAAGCTTCACACAGAGTAGCGGATTGATGTAATCATGCTAAAAAAGCTTGTTCATTCTTTTAAAGTGTCTGTGTCAACTTAAAATCTTATTCTGAAAACTCAGTTTGATGTTTTCCTGATTGCAAGGAAGATTAATGTTTCTTAAAATATTTTATGGCTGCTTTGTGAAACAAACTGACAGAATGGAGTGATTGACATACAAAAATAAAATGTCACTAAACTTGAAACTTCACCAGAAACAAAACTTGAGATAGTCATGAAACCTGTGCTGAATTTGCAACTAGTTCTGTGAGAGTTTGGTGCTTTAGCTTACAGTTATGGAAAAACTGAGTGGGCAATAGGGAAGGAAGATTGTTGTAAAAGCAGGATTGCTTAACAGGGAAAATTACATTAGGTCTTATCCTCAAACACTTCTAAAAACAAAACAAAACACCCCTCCAATCTATGAAGTCAAAATGTGACTGCTTTCCTTAGAAACCACAGCTAAACATGCAGTTAGAAAATAACTTGCGTAGCTTCTGAAACTTGGTACCAGCTGGTGGACAGTTGTGTAACAGCCTGAGATCATCTTCTGAACCACCCAGCAGCAATTTGTAGGATAATTCTAACATGAAATAACACTGGACTGTGTTTCCAGAAGCATTATTTCCTCTGTGGAGAAGCCATGGATAATTACTGCGCCATGTCCTCCTGTTTCAGTTTGGTAATAGTTGTATGGATCAGAATTCATTTTTCTGTATTTCTGGTGTTGAAAAACACCATGAAACTGTAGCTTTTGCCAAGTTACCGCTCTTTCAGAGCAAAATTTAACAGATCTGCTCTGGAGGCAAGTCAAACCCATTATTTGTAATAGGTCTTCTAAGAGAGGCTGGCAGCTGTCAAAGGTGTGTGGGTATCCTGGAGTTCATGTTGCACTTCTTTTCCTGCCTGCTGCTCTGGAGGGTGTGTTGAATTTCCTTACCAGAGTGGATAACCTTCCACTGCTTTGCCATTCACTGTACTTCAGCTGAAGCAGGGCATGATATTTCCAAGACTAGTGGTCAGACTTTTTTTAAAATTTTATTATTAATACTTTTTTAATTAAAAAAGAAAAAAGCAGCCTTGCCTTTCTGCCTTTACAAAGTACAGCTAATTAAGACTTCTGTTTCTCTGTTCTACCCCTCTGTTTCTCAGGGCTCATGTTTCTCTTCCCCTAATTCACACTTCCACTACTCTGTTTAATTGGTACATTCCTTCTAGCCTAAGGTTGTTTGTCTTCATAGTGTTTTAATATCACTGTACTTCATTTTGTAAAGTGTCAATTGTGCATCACAGGCCTCAGTGTTAACAGATTTCACATTTCATCCATGATAGAGTCCATTTCTCTGCATTCAAGTTTAACAGCCAGACCAGCTCTCAAGGGGGCATGGAACCAGACCAATCAAACACAACCACCACACCCTCAGACTTTCCTTTAATGGTAAGACAATACCTATGGAGCAGAAGCACATTACAGAATAGCAGTTCTGCATACCAAATACTGAAGAAGCACATGTGCATCTCAGTGGGGTTTGTTACAGTCACATGCGTAAAGTAGGGGTGGCTCTGATTTTCCATATGGTATCTACACAAAGTTAATTGTCTTGCCACAAAGAGTTCTTGTTTTCTTCAAGGTGATACCTTGTGTTTACCAAGGTCCACACTTTGAGACATGCAAGCACCTGAAA